CTCCACCAGCTTCTCTAGAACACAGCCCACGAGAAACATCGCTCGCAAGGTCAGCTCACATCCAACACAGATGAACTGTAGTAAATATCAGAATATTTAGGAAGCTCATTCACATTTTTAACGTGGAACTCCAGATGTCCTTCTTCAACACAGTATTAAACTCCGATCAAAAAGCAAAACAAAACTTGGATTGCTATTAAACTGGAGTTTTCTGGTTAGCTACCATCCACTCTCCTCTCTCCAGCTTTTGCTTTCGGTGTGATCACTGCTACGTAACAATTTCCCACTGGGTTTCGATGCAGGGCAAAGCCAAAGAACTGACTGTGCCCCAAAGAGTTAACCACAGCTCCACCGTCCTCCCTTCTCTTCCAGAGGCTCCTGTCTGCAAAGGTTTGAATAACTGCTGGAATCAGGACATTAATTTAGGTCGTTTCACGATTAAATTCACTGTTTGGCTTGTTGGGTTTTTTTTTAAATCATACACTGTGTGCATGTGGGTAATGGAACAATTTTGCTTCAGGCTACGCTAAAAATTGGTCAACAGAGGCACAGCAAAACTTCCACTTGCATCAGATGGTGATGGGGTTCTTTGCTGATCAATTTTACCAGATGGTAAGAACTGCTCTGATGCAAGAACATTAGGTTCCAGCTCAGCCTTGCAGGAACAGGCAGATGTAATGAAGCAATATGGTATTACGCAAACAAACACACACTAAATTATTCAAAGAAGCTGTGCTTCCTGCCCCATCTTCAGTACCACAAATTCACTTGTCAAGTATTACAGATAATATTTGGAAATCCCTTTTTCTTCCACTGCTATCTGCCAGGAAGCGAATGACACCAGGAGTCAGATAAGGAAAACATTTTAGTACCTGGACTTGAAGCATTTGTAAGTGAAGGAGAAGGCTGGCAGCTGGTAAGTAACTTTGCTTCCTTTCACTTTGCTGCAACATACTCTGGGTTTCACACTGTGGCCCTTAGGTCCAGGGGGAACTTAGGCTACCTGCAAGGCACCGGTGAAGGCAAACCTTTCAGGAGCTTGTTACTCACTACATAGGACTCCATGAGCAATACAGAAAATATACAGATCTATTAATCAAAAAAGGCTCAAAAATCCCTATACAAGAACATACCCATACTGACTTAAGCATCCCTGGAAGGCCACTGGGTGGCCTTGGAACTTAATCCAGTTTGTATGTCCCAAAACCATGCCTTGTTGCATACACCCTCCTTAAAAGAAATCTAGCTCTGATGTCTAAAGAAACTTGACTGCTTACATTTGTAAGGTTAATGACATTTATAGATTTCACATTGTTTCAGAACTCCCCTCAGTAAGGCACTAAAATTTGAAAGTAACAACAAAACATTATTGCGAAACTAATGCATTTTAGCATGACTTTTTAATTGGATGGGATTATCCACAATCCCAGATGTTCTCCTAAACTTCCCTGCAGAGCTGGAAAGCCCCAACCAATTCTTCCCAAACTGTTCAATCCCAGGTTTCAGGGATAATTTCAGCATTTTAAGTAGAGAAGGCTGATGCACGATGGAAGGCACTGGAAAGTGAGACTGCAAAAAGATATGAAAGCCCGGAGCCATAAAAGGATGCAAGTGCCTAAATACTGCCTTGCTGCTACTGTAAGCATTTAGCTAAATCCTTAAAACTTTCCTCGTGCCCAGGGGCATTCAAACCTCCCTGAAGGAATCCTCTAAGTGCTGAGAAAGGTGCTTCATCCCTCCTAAAAAAAATCCCACCAGTGATTTGGCCAGCAAGAAGAGGAGGAGAATGTTAGAGTGAGCACAGCTTTGGGAACAGGGAGATCTTTGTTCCAACCCCTAGGCCACCAACCATTTTTATCCAAAAAAGAAATTCAGTAGAAGAAACTGAGAGCTCGTTTCTCATTCCCACGGACAAGGCAACAAGCTTATTTGTCTGGTGAAATGGGAAGTTTTTGAGAAGTGACAGACTGGAATCAAGTCTGCTTTTTGTGGGCTTGCTG